ATATATATACATATGTATATATATAAACTGTCTAATTGGATTCTGCATCCAATTGGATAAGCGTCTCATTCGTTTGCTCCTCCTCTTTGGGCGGCGGCGCCGGCATGGGTATTGCAATGGGGCTCATCGTGCTGATCATGCGTGGCTCAGCATGCGCCGTTGTAATCGGTTGCAATTGCTGAGCTGCAGGCCTGACGAAATCCGGCTGGGGTGCTGCACCAGCACCAGCTCCAGATGGATGGCCATGACTGTGGCCGTGACTGTGACCATGATTATGGCCATGACTGTGGCTATGTTGCTTGTGTTGCTGTTGATGCTGGTGGTGATGTTGATGCTGATGATGTTGGTTATGATGATGCTGATGCTGCTGCAGCTGCTGTTGCTGAGGAAAAGATTTGGGCAGCTGCGCGTGACGTGTGGAGTCCGTTGCCTTAAGTCGCTCACTCAAAGCCTTTAGAGCGATTTGTCTAGATATAAAAGATATATAGAAATAATAGAAGCGAATTAAATTCCATTAGCTTACCGCCTACGCTCAATATCATGCGGATCCACTCCAGGCATTTGCACCGATACGGAAGTCAAGCTTGCTGTTGAGATCGTACGCAACGGCGAGGGCGCCTTCACAACGCCAGCGCGCAAACAACAATTATATATGGGATTCACTAGGAGGCTGATAAAGGGTTGTGTCACATTGGGAAAAAAGCTGACGAAGGTGAAACTCTCAGAGCTGTCGCCACGTCCATTTGGATGATGCTGATAAAAGCGCAAATAGATCCAAGAGACAATAGCACCAGAGGCAAACATGGCCGGATATGTGCCATCCAGCATGCCAATCGCCCAGCAAATGATGGCCAAGATGAGCACAGACAAAGGAACGTTTCTGCAGCAGCAGAATGAAGAACAGATTATATATTAAAAAGACATCATTTAGTGACTTTAGAAACCTCACCGATTAGTCAGTCGTCCGTAGCGTGTCTTGAAGATGAGATGATCCGGCATTATTTGCCGCACAGCCACACAGATGCCAGCCACATAACCAGCCAAGCCATGAATGTGTACATCGAATAATATTGTTGGATTCTTCGTAACCATATAGTAGAATAGATAATATATCGTCGTTACGAGCGAAACGCCGAAATTGCTTAGTGCGAAAAATTTGAACATTTCGAATTGACCCCAGAGAGGCTCCAACATTTTGCCGCACAGTCCCACTGTGACCACATCCACCATCACCTCCCACCAGTGTAGCTCGATGAAGCAGAAGGTAAAGGCGGTCCATATCCAAAATTTACCGTTGGGCAATAAATAGCCAGGCGTTACGCTTAGCAGCAATACTGCTGTCTCCGAATAGGATAACAGATAGCCCACTGTTGTCACTAAACAGATCAATGTTATCACTGGCGACGTATTGTGCAGCAGAGCAGTTAGCTGCTGTTTTAAATACGGTACATTTCGTGTGAGTGGAGCTGACATGGCAACTCAAATTCAGATTTCGATTGCCCGCAGATGATGTTGTTGTTTCTCTTCTGGGTTTTGTTGTTGCTGTTGTCGTCGTCGTGTTTTGCTTGTGTTGCGCACAGCTTGGTCGTCGCACGTTATGCTGCTCGGTTTGTAAATGCGCATTAGTAGATTTATTGTGTGCGTTTATGTTGTTTAAACTGTGTGTCGAATTGCTTATTTTTATTTATGATTATTTTTCCATTTTATGCACTACAAAGTGAGACCAGATTCTGTAAAGCCAGAAATCCCTTATGTTGATTTTGGCTCTTGCAGAAAGCCGATTATACTATATCGAAGCTATCGCTCCAACAATACATAAATATAAATTAATTTTCTTTGAAATCGGCATATAACAAACTCTGAACTGTTTAAGCATTATTATCTATAAAAGCGAAAACGAAAATTTCCCAAATCCAATACAGAGCTTTGTTGCATTACAATTTTAAATATTGATATCGATAACATTGCATCCTAAGAGAGCGGTAAACTTGTAAATTTCAAAATTCAAGATTTTAACTTCGAATATCAGAAACCAATAAAAAATACATTTTTTGAATTAAAAAGTTTATCTAAGTTACGATTTATTATTATGACAATTTGTATGCATGATTCTCAATGCGTGATTTTCAATGTTCGTTTCATGTACTCATTATCATCGTGTGTTGTAATAATTTCACGTGTAATAGATGATGGTCTATATAATTATATTACACATTCAGTTAAAAAACAATAAATTGCATTGAAATTCAATCAATTCGGTGAAATATTGAACTTAAGCAATAAAGTCTCACATTTTTCAGTTATATCTTTTACAAACTAATAAAACTATTCAAACTAAAGTTCTTGTCGCATTAAACACAAACATTTTCTCTTTTTTTTTTTGCCCTAGGCTAGCAGCAAAAGACCTTCAAATCGTGGAACTTTTTTTCTTGAAACCACACGAGGACGATGATGTTAATTCACTTAAATCGGTAGACGCGAGGCGGGTGGCGGAATCGCAGCGAGCTGACATGTGAGAAGTATATGATGAAGTATTTTCTTGCTGTTATTGTTTTGGGTTTTAATTTCTATTTCGTTTGTGATTGTTAAAGTTCGCTGCTTAGAACAGCAGCGTGCCCATGCCACCCATTTCGGATTGTTCCTTAACGAAAATCTCAAAGTATTGGTAGATGATCGTCACAGCCAGCAGGATACCCGTACCGGAGCCAATGGCGCCCAGAAAATCAGCCATAACGGACAAAGCGCCAATGCAAAGACCACCAAAAGCAGCAGCTGTTGGAATATAACGATTCAGTTCATGAATCATGGAGTTCTCGCGATGACCGCGCATGACCATGTGCTGCTCCTTCAGCTGCTTGGCAACCTATGAAAGCAAGTCAAGAAAATATGAATTAATTAAATACAAATGAATTTAAATTCATGCTTAACTTACATCCTTGGCTGAGCTGCCAGACACATCGATCCACGTCTTGGAGAAGAACGCACAAGAACCCAACATGAAGACAATGTAGAGCAGAGCATGGATCGGATCGGTGAGTATGTGGCCCACGCTCTCTGGTGGAGACAGATAGTAGCACAGGCCGCCAATGGGATAGGAACGAGCTGGGCCGCCACCGCCAACATCGGCCCAGACACCCAGCAAGTTGATGAAGAAATTGCCTTGGAATTTGACGGCCAACATCTGGGAGATGACATACAAGTTGGAGACCAGAGCCGACTGCAGAATGATGGGAATGTTTGAAGTGTAGAACAACTTGATCGGGTAGCTGCTGTATTGTCCGCGGTAGCGGGCGCTCTTGATGGGCAGATCCACGCGGAAGCCTTGGAAGTAGATGACGACAGCAAACACCAAAATGGTGGCCAACAGATTCATCAGATTGGGCAAATTCTGGCGATAGAATGCCTCGCGAAGAGCACGCACTTTATCGTTGCGTGTCGCCATCAGGTGGAAGAGGGCAATCACAGCGCCCTCGAATTCGGTGCCGCGTCCCGTTGTCACAGTGGTGGGCGAGAATGCCTTCCACACGATCGTCTCACAGATGTTCGTGGCAATGAACAACGAAATACCAGAGCCCAGGCCATAGCCCTTCTGCAACAGCTCGTCGAGCAGCAGGACAATCAGACCGGCAGCGAACAACTGGATGATGATCAGCAGACAGACGCCGGCGCCAATTTCCGATGGATCACCGTACATGCCAGTCATTACATAGACGATGGCCTGGCCAATGGTGATGACCATGCCGAACAGTTTCTGTGCGCCGTTGAATAGAGCACGATCCTTGGGCGTATCACCGACTTCGATGATCTTGGCGCCAGCCAAGAGCTGCATAATCAAACCGGATGTCACGATGGGCGAAATGCCCAGCTCCATGAGTGTGCCACGATTCGAGGCGAGTATCACACGTATCCAGTAGAAGGGATCCGCTGAATCGGAGCTCATTATGCCGAACAACGGGATTTGACAGCACACCAGGAAAATGAACAATGTGATAGCTGTCCATAGTACTTTCTCTCTGAATTGAATCTGCAATAAAATATTTACAAAATTTAATTTAATTTGAAAATAGTTTTCTCGTACATTAATAATATCAAAATATTGAAGTAAAGTAATATTTA